TAGTACAGTCGACTCCCGATAACTCGAACCCTCGATAACTCGAACTCCCGCTAACTCGAACCAATTTTCGTTTCCCCTCAGTTCATTTTCTATATAATTTTACCCTCGATAACTCGAACCATGTTTTGAGCCTTTAAAAAGTCGGGAAAAAAGCCGTCTGCTGGCGTCCGAAACGTTGAATTTTGGATTTCCTATTAACGTGTTGTAGGAGTATAGTTTACTAATGGAGGCTGATGTTGATGGTCACAGGCTAACGTGAAGCAGCTTTACTTCTCAAAACAGTTACGTTACGTTCTGATTCATAATCTACAAGTATCTTCTAATTTTCACTTGACATTTCTACAATTAAATGCGATTAAAATGTTCAATGTGCAATAAAAACTGTTTTTACCTTACTCTCGGCTATTTTCTTCGAGCTCCCGATAACTCGAACTTTTTTCGATTTCCCTTGAGGGTTCGAGTTATCGGGAGTCGACTGTATTATAACATGGATGCCAACCTTTCGGCTGAATCTGAAAGGGTGAGGTACTCCCTTATACAGCTTATGTGGGGATGTGCCGCTGGGCAGGGTATACTTTTTTTCCACTCTAGTGTCCTAAACAGCATATAATTTCGCACAAGTCTAGCCTGCGTGGTCCCCTCTCCTTTTTCCCTTCCTCCCTATCCCCTACCCCCTACCCCTTTCGACGCCTGCTACGCAGGCTACACAAGTCTGTCATAAAGACAGGGTGCAAAGAAAGTCAGTTTTACAGCTTGTAGTTAGCATGTGAGCCCAAAAGTCATTTCAACTAGCCCAAAAAATTTCGATGAGCCGGATTGATAACAATTTTTCTGTAATTTGAATTCCCCAAAAATCTTCACTTGCCAATCAGCAAAATAAGAACAGAATTTACTAGCCTGATAGCAAAATCCATTAGCATTGTAATATAAACAGGTTATTGCTTCATTTGTTTGATGAAAATAGTTTGGACTCCGAGTGTACAATGACAGATTATAATGTGAATTTACTCTATTGCAGTTGCCAATAAACGGCTTTAAAACAAGATGGCGTGCATTTTTTAATATTTATTTGTCTCCAACGGGGTAATGAAATTGAGGGTTTTGTCCTAAACTGGGTAGCTATCTGTAGCTATTTTAGGATTTTTTGGTCCTAATCAGGGTCAGGGTTTCAAACCCTCAGCAACTCACCTTAACCCAAATATTGGTTGAGTGCCCCCCTTCCCACCCTAGAAGGGAAGGCTGAATGGGCCACCCTGTGTAACTTTACTTTGTTCCCCGATAAAGAGCCAAAAGAATATCTGCATAGAAGGCTATAATCACTTAGGCAACTTCTCTCATCACCACTGCAAGCATCCCTTTCTTTTGTGATAAGCTGCTAATTCAGATCCACCTTTCTAGAGTCCAGTCCATTTTTTAAAATCTTTCCCATTACCTTTTGTTGTAAGTTATGGCAAAGTTATTGGTTTAATAGGAATTCCTAGAATATTTTCGTATCCTCCAGATTTCTACGCACCCGATCTTTTAGTTTTCGTATTCATTTCATTTTTGTTCTGTTTGTGGATTATCCATTCATACTCTAAAAATAGCTGGACTTTGTCCCCAGTAAGCGCCCTATTTCTCAATTCTAAGGAAGAATCTGATTGGTCTCTTTGACACGCGCCAAATGTAAATTATTCTAACATGATTTGTGATTGGTGGATAATGATCAGGCCACCGGCATAAAGCCATGATCCGACCTTCTGAAAACAACTCGGTCGAAGTTTGATTCTTAAAAGAGGAAGTGCACAATTTGTAAACTCTATCGTTGGAGACAGGGTCTTTTTTAGACGAAACCTCCATAGTCTTACTTAAGAAAAGACTCGTGTAGCCCTCGAAGATATCCAGGTCGTCGATCAAGTAGCGTCAGATTTGCGTTTGTCAAGTGTAACAGTTAATATCAGTTAAAAGTTTTGTGATCACTGCCTTATAACGCAATACTTCAACCGCGACACAATTGCAATACATGGCAGAGTTACGCAGAAGAAGAACAAACATGAGCGAAATAACCACGACCAAGCTGATGAATGAGGATAGCAATGACACGGATGGTGAAAGATCTGAAAACAGCTGTGACTCCTCTGAAAACATTAGCTCGCAAGGCGATGGTCAAGAAATACCATTAGAACAACAAGAAGAAGAGGAAAAACCATTAGAATATGTGGACAGTGTCGACGTAACAGTCGAAAGTAGGGGTTGTGAGGACGACAGTTCGAGTAACACAGGTTCTGAAGGCGAGAAAGATTCAGAGGGGGTAGCAAACGAAGATACCACTAGTGCAAGTAGTAAAGAAAGCGAAAATGACCAGGACCATGCTGGCGAAAATAGCGACGAAGATGTAGACGGAGAAAGTGTAACATGCGCTCTGCTTGGTCTCGAGCAAGCCAAGGTAAACTTAATACGCTAATATCATATTTCTACATAAGTATCCGGTCCATTTTTATTTCCCTACTTCTTTTGGCAATGTAAGAGTATATAAACTAAAAAGAGTAGATAAGTATAAGTATGTGAGGAAAGCGTGTATTTCGCGTGCTCACACGTGGATTGTACAAACTTTCAATTGATGTGAGCCACCTTGTTGTCAATTTCATAATTATAGGATCACGACATGGAAGTATTTTATTCTTGAAAGGTGTTTTGGCAAGAAAGGCCCAGCGAATTTGTGGTTCCGTTTCTTTTTGTCTGCTGGTTACGTAAGAACTCTGTGAACTCACGAGACCATATCACGCCACACGAGCAGAAACAGGTCAAGATGGCTGGGGATTGGCCAGGTGCTGTAAAAATGAACGAGGCCAACATCCAGCCATCTTAAAAGAGCCAGCTTAGAAGAAATAAAGGGTATAAAAAAAATTGTGTGGCCAAGAGAACGTTTTTCTTCAGGGACAAATGTGGGAAATCTTTGCCCACCCACATAGCCAAACAGAACAAAAGATTTGCTTCATCTTGCCTGCTTGTGTAGGAGCCATTATAAATGAGGTTTCTTTCTATTTTTAATTAAATTTACCCCAACAAATTAATTATCTCTGACCGATCTGACTCGCTTCAGATCCTCTTCACTTGACCCCAAATTTATTACAAGTGGTCAGAGTGGTTCGGAATGAGTACCGATCGCGCGATCTGAACTCCTGAAGTCGTACGTCTGAGTTTGCACTAGTCCCGGTGTTTATTAAAATTCCCAGTAATGTATTTGAGCACAGGTTAAATTGGAGGTTTTTGCCTGGTTTTAATTAAAATTTCAAAAGTTAATGTTTATTAGAAGATTCTATCAACCTACAATGTAAAAGAAAGATAAAATTAATATTGAATTGCCTATACCATGCATGTTTTACTGTGGTCTTTCAATGGCACTGGTACCCAGTTATGTCAATGAAACAGTGAACCACTTTTGGTGATAAGAATTTACTGCCTCTTGTAGTATTGAAAGTTAATTGCTTTGTTTTTATTCATGGAAGTTTGGAAGAGGATTAAAGTCTCTGTTAGGTTATCTATCTGAAGTGTTTTATTTAGTTTTATTTATTTATTTTTCAATCTAAAAGGGAATCTATTTTTGCCATTTGAATGATTATTAAAAAGGAGTATGTGAAAAGTATATTCAGTTTGTTTTGCTTGAGTTTAGCATTTTTAAGTTAATAATTAAGTCTGTTGACATGTCAAATTGCCTACCACTTAACAGGAATGCAGATGACTAGCATCTACAGCTGTATGTGCGAACATGTTTTAGGTGTAACATGCAAATGCTGTTAGTTCTTGCCACCTGTTGTTTCTTAGCAACAATGACATGGTTTATACACTGTAGGAATTAATACCAGCCACTTTGTTTGACCAATTCACTCTGTAAACTACTTTACTCCTGTGGAAACATTTCACGGCTGGCTCTCAGACTATGGAGAAAAGTCATTTTCTTGGTTTGTTTTATTGTTTTATTTGTTAGTATTAAGAAGCAATTTTAGGGAGCCTCAATGTTTTTTGCGGGTGAACCATTCTTTACTCTGCTCTCATTGTGGATAGCTCCACTTTGAAATGTTCTGCAGTAATATTGGTATAGGACATTTTATGGAGCCAAAACCAATTATGGAGTTGCATGCATTTAAGTTATTTTACTGATGAATGGTTTCGACAGTTAGATATTTGCAGCAACACTTTATTATAGTTTATCCCCTTTGAATTATGGTACGGGGCTTGAATTATCATTGCAGGATGACACAGAAAAAAAAGTATATTTGTAAAATATACTTAATTTAAGCCTGCAGGAGTAATGACAGAAAACTCAGAATTAAAATACTGTAGTGAAAAACAGGGGCTACGTAAAGTTATGTAGGCAATACATGATAGGGTTTCAGGGCTGGTGCAAGGCTTTCAAGTTGTGTTCATACAAAATTTAGTAGGTGGGGAAGGAAACAGCTAAAAATTTGTTTTGGTTTCATTTTTCTTTTGCCTCCTACATAATGTATGAAATTAGGTGGGAGGGGCGGTGGGGGAAGATACCTAGCCCCCCTGGCCCAAAGTGACAGCCCTGGGCATATTTAAAGTCCCTTTCCCCCATACTTTGTTCACATCAGCTGTCTCTATCAGCAGCTATCTTCATCAATGTACTCTATTCATTCTCCTTTCCCATCCCATCTTATAAGTTAGTCTTTAAAGTTACTAAGTTTTCCTCGCATAATGATGACAATGATTGCTAGTGTTATTAAAATGCATGTCTTTTTTTTAGGTCTTTATAGTCAAAGGAGAGGAAAACTTGCATGTTATGTTCCAAGCTGTTAAGGGCAATGTGCAAGATACAGCTGTTAAAATCAAGGGAAACATGCATGACGCTGCCGAGAAAATGCAAGATAACATACATGAAGCGACTGAGAAAATGCAGGTGATGCTTAAATCAACCAAAGAAAACATGACTGATGCTGCTGAACGAGTTCAAGTCATACTAAAAACGGCCAAAGACAATGTGCAAGAAAGCATGCATGATGCTGCTGATAAAGCTGAGAGGATCTCAAAGAAAGCAATGGAATTAGCACGCTCTGGATGGTATCTCCTCTCGCATTTCGAGCTTCCAGAATGGCTTCGTGACAATGACTTTTTATCGCACCATCACCGACCTCCCATGCCTTCATTTAGGTCTTGTTTTAAGAGCATTTTTAAAATTCACTCTGAAACTGGAAATATCTGGACCCATTTGATTGGGTTTGTGGCCTTTATATGCGTCATGTTGTACATGTTTTTGCGACCAATCACCAACACCAATCCATTTCCAAAAGACTGGCAGGAGAAGCTGGTATTTGGTGCCTTTTTTGCTGGTGCAATATTGTGTTTGGGGTTCTCGTGGCTTTTCCATACTGTTTACTGTCACTCTGTTACTGTGTCCAAAGTTTTTAGCAGGTGAGGTTTTTTCTGCGTATGTGACTTTCCTTCACATGTAAATCAGCATGCATATTCTCTGCACAATTCTCTTATCTTATTCATATACTGTATATATATACATGTGTGGTACTGTAGACCTGGAACATATTTTTTCTAGGTAGCAAAATCCAATTTTCTAATGATGTTTATATCTGATCAGGCAAAGTCATTCCAAGGCCTGGCTTCACATTGGTTAACCTAATGCTAATAGCACAGGAGCAATAGATCTTGCCTATTTATGGGCATTATGTTTGTTACATGTGAAGTTCAAAGACAGTTTGACTAGGGCAAAAGGAGTAACAAATTGTTTATCCTGTTTTTTTCTCTTATAAGAGGTTAATTAAAGGGTTAACTTATTAATTTATAAAAAAAATAGGTTTTTCTTTTGGTATAAATTAGAGCATTAATTTGTGTACAATAATATGTATACTTCTGATCTAGCAGGGGATATTATTTTTGTAAAATGCGGAACGCTGAATGATTCTGGAGTCGTGCTGTCAGGGTTGGGGAATTAAGTGAATCAACTTTCCAGTCAGGGTTATTATACAGGGCAAATGGAACAGAAACTTCACAATTGTCTAGCCCTTATCTGGATAACACCTTCCACTGGATAAATCTCTATCCACTGGATAGCGCAATATTTATTGGTTTCCTGAATACTTATTCGCTGGAGAGTGATTATGCAGTAGAAAGCACTATCCAGGTTTTTAACATCTGGGACCTAGGGTCATTGGCAATTAACCCTTTAAGTCCCAATAGTGTGTAACGTCAATGTTCTCCTAACGATATCCATACAATGTCAATAGATTAGGTTATGAGAATTAATAAAGTGATCACCTAGGGGAAAATGCCTTGATCTTTTATTAAATTCTCTCAACTTATTCTTGAAGGAAATGTATAGAGATCAGTTTGGAGAATTTGTATGTGGATATTGGGGCTTAAAGGGTTAAGGGTTATCCAAACTACTCATGCTGCTTTCACTATACTCAAGCTTTCATGTACAGTGTATCAACAATAATTTCTGTGGCTAACACTAATGTTATTGATTTTTTCTTGACAGGCTTGATTACTCAGGAATTGCTATGCTGATCATGGGTTCGTTTGTGCCTCCTCTTTACTATGGGTTCTATTGTTCAAGAGTTCTTAAAATTGTTTACATGTCAGTGATCTGTTCCCTTGGTATCATGTGCATTATTGTTTCATTGTGGAGCAAGTTTAACACTCCCAAGTACCGAGTACTCAGAGCAGGTATGATCAGGTCATTTTTAAATTATATAGAAAACCATAAGAGAGCAAGAACTGTTACCCCCTCAGATTAAAGACTCCCAATTCAAAAGGGATAAAAGTTCAAAATCTGCAATAGTACTAACGCTGAGTGCCACCTTCACTTATACTGATCAAAGATATCATAGGTTATAGAGTGTTCTTTCAGGACTAGGAATTGAAAAGTTCTCCAGAGACTGAAAAAGAAAGGAAAACTCAAAATTGCTTATTATAATTTATTGTCCTTTCACTTAATATTGTTTTTTTTGTAAATGCCATAAAGCTTTTTGAAATCCCCTTTATGAGAAAGCCCTTTCCTTTTAAAATGCTGAAATGTTGAAAAAGTGTGCTGGAGGCACGACATAACAGTAGGCAAGAACTTTTTACATCACACATTACTCAAAATTCAACGATTTATTCATACTTTTTTTTTTCCGTCAGGTCTGTTCCTTACATTTGGATGTTCAGGAATTGTTCCAGCTATTCATTTCATGGCCGCATATGGTGTGACGCTTGCTCATCGCCAGGCTTCTGTTGGCTGGATGGCTCTTATGGGAGTCTTGTACATAGCTGGTGCTATCATGTACGCTACCAGGGTTCCAGAAAGATGGTTTCCTGGCAAGTGTGATATCTGGGTAAGCAGCCAGTTTAGCTTCTTATCTTTCACCTCAGAGTTTCTTGTCCTGCAATGTTCAGCCTAAGTAATTAAGGGTGCATTTGATTGACCTTGTTCCAGAGTCAGATTATTTGAAACTAATTAAGTTAAGAGATAGCTTGTTGTAGGTGCTCATTGCATTGCACTATGACTTTGCAACTGTGGCTCCTTTAAAATCCTGTTGGGCGAAAAAAATTGGAGAGAGGGGGGGGGGGGGGCGCTAAAATTACAGTGATTAACTGAAGAAATAGAGTTGATTTTGGTACTTCTAACAGGGAAGTTTGAGAATTTGAGATTCATCTAAACTCACATCTATGCATGTTGTTTGTTTTTTCCTTACAGTTCCAAAGCCACCAAATCTTTCATGTCCTCGTGGTTGCTGCAGCCTTTGTTCATTTGTATGGAATCTGCCAGATGGCATATTACAGGTTTCACCATGGCACAGCATGTGAAAACTGAACTAAGGGCTTAAACCTTTAAGTCCCAATAGTGACCAAGATCAATTTTCTCCTAACAATATCCATATGTTGCCAAGAGAAATGGTTATGAGAGTTAATAAAATGATCACCTAAGAGAAAATGCTTTGATCTTCTACCAAATTCTCTCAACTTATTCCTTAAGGAAATGTATAAAGACCAGTTTGGAGAATTTGTATGTGGATATTGGGGCTTAAAGGGTTAAGTACAATTATTGTACAATTTGGGGTTTCATTTGTTATTCAAAGTTAATGTATGCAGTTCTGTTTGACAGAATGTTGTCTCCAACAATCTAATGTACAGCATTTATTTTGTAAGTTAGTGATAGGCTAGTGTTTTGTAGTTTTTAAAGTTAGCAAAACAGTTTGTAAATATAATTATAAGACTTTTTACAATCAATCATTGGGTTTAAAATAAAGCTTAAAATTTTTATGTAGGGTTAGTTTTACTAAGACTGTTGCCCCTTCTAAGCGCACATTTTTTCCTTTCCTGTATCCCATAAATCAGTCTTTTACTGCAGATATATGTGCTTGTCAAGCTACACTGATCTTTACGGGCCTTCCTCATGGTTTGTTCCAGAGGTAAAAGTACTGTTTTCCAGAAAAATGCTTTGGAGTTGTAAGAAAACATTGTTTCTTTGCCTATCATACTTTCAGTACACATTCTGGTGAGCTGTGATACCACATAATTAACCTTTTAAGCCCTTGGAGTGATCAGCACCAAATTTCTCCGTGTTTTATCAATGCTGTTTAAAACAAAGTGGTCATAAAAATTAAAGACATGATCACACAAGATGAATTACCTTGATACTTGAACAATGTCTCCCTTCTTCTTCCATAGAGAATGCATTGGGCAACAAGTGAAAATTTAGATTCTGATATACAGTTCAAAGATTATCATTCAGATTATGACTTATTTAAGGTATTGAATTTGAAGCAAATGACACAAGGGGGCATGATGCTGAATATGTCATTTTTGCTACATATTTAACTTTCTTACACCATTCAGATCTATAGAGAAAATTTAAGTGCCTAAATGAAAAATAATGTTTATAATGATAAAGTTTGTTTTAGTGGAAACTAAATTCTACCACACAATGAAGCTTTATTTTTGTATATTACTATTATTATTATTGAATGGTCAAAAAGTTTTCTTCTATTAGGAACTTAAAAAATATCATAATTTGATGGGCTGCTTATCACATGTTTACCGTGAAATATCAAGAAGAATGTTTTTATTTGAAGCAGCATGAACCCATAATACAACAGGAGTATGCCAAGCTTTTCAAGTTAGAGTTTTGCTTGGCTAATTGCCAAATAATATACTGTCTTAAGGGCAGAGTGTCAGCAAGATCAAGAACTCCTTGCAAGTCCACTAGAAGTGTTGAATTCCCTGAGAATGCACGGGTTTCCTAATAGTTACTATACTAGAACATGCAGACTGTTTTAGTGTCTTAATTTGGCTAAGGAATTGTAGGAAAGAAGTCAGATTTTTAACTACTAGGTCACAAAATAGTTTTGTACTGAGTATTCTGGCCTTGAGTGGAAGCGAGGCTGGAGGTGACCGAACCGCTACTACTTTTCGCATACAGAGGAAGCTCTTGTGAGCGGACACCCTCAGGACGCAAAAAAAAGTGCCCATAACTGGAGCTGCCTGCTTACAGGAATGTAAAAATTCAGTGTGTTTGGGAGGTGAGAAAAATGGTTTTTTTTTGCAGGTGGCTGTAATTAGAGCTGTCCGCTAACGAGCTTTCACTGTTAATGTAAATCATGCATACAAATGGCACCGAGGTTCACTGGTATATCAAGTTTTTATCCAAACAAAGTCGCTGCCAGCCTTTCTTCCACTAAAAGCCTACATTGCTCAACACACAACTGAAAATAGGCCTGACATTTTGAAGATGAACGATGTTATTTAAAAAAATTTCCAATAACTTTTTATGGCACCTTCAGAGTAGCCTGTGTAGCAAGCGTCTCCAGTCAAGTTATAGCGCGAAAGTTATCCTTTTCTTTTTTTGCTCTCGTCCCAACTTTCTCGATGAACTCGCGCTGAAACGCTTGCTGCGCAGGCTACCTTGAGAGAATCAATTTGTACTTTCTTGTTCAAAGGTAATTTCAGGGAGTGTACCTGCATAATTTTAGAAAAGGTAACACAGAACCTCGGGGAAATTATCGTGATGCTGTTCCTTCAAAAGTCCATGTCCACCATTTGGCAGGATTAATGGTTTATAACACTGTCACAACTCTTGTATATAAGTTATTTATATTTTTCTGTGAACATAAATTGCTCAAAAATATGACAATTATAATAAAAGAATATTATGTTGTTAGATATGTTAAAGTTACTGTGCATCATCCACTCCCTGCAGACTTGTTCGCAGACCGTTAGTGTATTTTGTTATTTAAAGTGATGAAATCCTACGATAAGTGAGGAGACTTGCAGAGGATTCTGGGAACAACGAGGAAGCAGAACGGTCACTTCTGAATTTTCGTCTAGACGTAACATAATGTGTGGGAATGATTCTGCTCCCACTGGCAGAGCCTCAGGCCAGTAAACCCTCCTCTCCTTCCATTGACAAACTTTTTCGGAAGCGGTACATATAAAAAATGGAATTTCTGAAGGTTGTAGGACTAAGACGCTACTTTTTTTGTGGAAAAAAATTTTTGAAGCCCCAGTATCCACATACAAATTCTCCAGAATCTCCTTGAAAGAAGTAGTTGAAAAATGAATGTATTTTCACCTTGGTGATAACTTACAAATTCCCATGAACTTTTTTTCTTTATTATTAATGCATGTTAATGTTTGGCGAAAATTGATGTTGGTCACTCTTAAGACATATTTTCTGAGGTGATATATGTTCATCAATGCCTTTTACTGAGCGCTCTGTCTTGGCCATTTGGAGGTTGTGCTTGAGACTGAGTCGTTGCGGTTTCCTCTTTAAAGGACTAAGAAGAAGAGATAGCATCCCTACAACTATACCATGGTGCTGATTTGGTGCAACACCGAACCAGTTTCCTGCGCAACGTCGTAATAGCCAATAAAAGAAGCGATAGCGCTCCCAAACAATTCCATAGTGCAGTTTGACACAACACTGACCCATTTGACAGAAAAATCCGGCTGGGGTGTTGAAAGCTTAATGGTAAGCAATTTACCAGTTTACCGTAGAAATGCTACATCCGTTACGGTTTGAATCCAAAAAAGGGCGAATTTGTGTAGCGTGAGTCTGGATCCGAGAAGGAACCGAGAAATTGGTTAATGGTAAGCAACATTCCGTTTGGTTCGTACCAACCGGAATGAAAGGACTACCTTAAAACGTACTCCTCAATTTTCGGTCGGAATTTTGGAAAAGTGACCTTACCATTTACCTTTCATCCGGAATTTCCGCAATTTTCTGTCAAATGGTAAGCACCCCCAGTCTCGCGCGCAACTTTGTAATAGCCAATAAAAGAAGCGATAGCGTTCCCAAAACAATCCCATAGTGCAGTTTGACACAACACTGACCCAGTCTCGCGCGCAACTTTGTAATAGCCAATAAAAGAAGCGTTCCCAAAACAATCCCATAGTGCAGTTTGACACAACACTGACCTAGTCTCGCGCGCAACTTTGTAATAGCCAATAAAAGAAGCGTTCCCAAAACAATCCCATAGTGCAGTTTGACACAACACTGACCCAGTCTCGCGCGCAACTTTGTAATAGCCAATAAAAGAAGCGATAGCGTTCCCAAAACAATCCCATAGTGCCGTTTGACACAACACTGATCCAGTCTCGCGCACAACTTTGTTACCCCCGAAGGGATTTCGCCCAGAAGGCGAGACCCCGAGGAGGCACTCTAGTAACTCGCGTGTATATTAAGGAAAGTACTTACAGTTGAAATATACAGTCATACAGTCAATATAGAAAAAAATCTCGATTTGCCTGAACAGGGGCCGCGAGAAATCGGTAGGTAATGATGACGTTTCTATTGTTTGCGCCCGCAAGTACGAAATGGTTAGGATAACGCAAAGACAGAAAATCCGGAAGGGACCGCTCAGGTAGATTTTGTGAGATTTATTGTGTAGTCATACTTCGATACTCTTTTGTGTTAAGCAGTGACATTCTCTGGAGCAGTTATTTTGAAAGTTATGGACCAAAAGACACTCGTTAAGCGCAGATGAGGTTATAAGGTACGTTTAACTGTGTATATATAAACACTAGGGGAGTTTGCCCAACACGAGCTCAAAAATCTTTGATTTATATTGGAAACCTTGCCAGACACTCGTTCTCTCTCTTTGACCGGAATAGGACTCAGCCCCAAACAAGCAAGACGAGTGAATAACGGCTGGCTTATCATCATGTTTACTGTAGGTAGTGTCGACCGATCTATCGGTTGATATAGCGGTCGATAGTCGGTCGACACTCTGTTGACACTAGCGGTCGATAGTCGGTCGACACTCGGTCGATATAGCGATCGATAGTCGGTCGAGACTCGGACGATAGTCGGACGACACTCGGTCGAGACACGGTCGATAGTCGTTCCAGATGTGTCTCTGCCGATATAGCTTTTCGTTCACCGATACTTCACCGACACTTCGCCGACTTTCGCCGACACTTCGCCGATAGTTCGTCGATACTTCACTGATGTATCAGTCAGTAATTGGTCAACGCTCGGTCGATGGTCGGTCGACACTTGGTCGATAGTCAGAATATAGTAAGAATACCTTAAAGAATTCATGTGGAGACATGGCATGGTGAGCCTCACTCCAGTGGCTGTTTTGGTTGACTGATGCAGGACATTGCAGAACAGTATCCACGGTAAATAGAAATCAATGACCTTTGTTAACTAGTATTTCTTACATTTTTTTGCTCGGAAAACAAGAAATTAGAAAGCATTTTCTAGCTTGAATATTGATGTCAACGCGGCGCATACTGTTTTCCTTTTTTTGGATATCCAAAAGTTACTTACCATTCAATATTAATTTCTGTTACGCATTGTCGTCTTTATTTTGAACACAGCATAAAGCGAAAGGACAGAGCAAAAGGACAGGATAATGTAATGAGAACGTATGAGTATTTTCCTGGCTGTAAATTGAAATCATTCCCACAATAAATGAATGTGTTCAGTCTGCTGGATATTTTGTCACCTTCCTCGGCGCATTGTAAGCGCGTTTTATTAATAACTGATCTTTAAGCAAAGGACTGTTCCCGTCTTCAATGCCGAAATATATAAGTTTAATTTGTGGTCTCCGCACAAGTGAGACCTCGGCGTGATAAAGCAGGTCAAAGCCCGATAATAAAACAGGGGCACCCAACGAGAATATAGTTCAAAACCACTTAAAGATAGCTTGTTAAACGTATTTTAGTATTTAAACGGTAGATATAGGCATATTTTTATCCCCTAAAAATTTTTCATCTGTTCGGATTTCCTAGCTGAAAGTCTAGTGATCCGAAAATTATAGGGATCAAAACTTACCTTTTCGAAAGTTTTAGCCAGAAAAAAGACTCCCGAAAATTCTAGGTGACCTTTTTAGGGTAAAAATCCGTTAAAAATAGGCAATTATACCAATTTTTAGATGTCCGAAAATCCTAGGAGAGGCAGGCAAACAAGAAATTTTACAACAAATGTTCCGAAAATTCTAGATCTCAAATCGTCTTCCGAACAGATATTTTTCCGAAAATTGTCGTTGGGTGCCCCTGATAAAAGATGCGCATTCCTCACTCTTAGAGCATGTCATGAACTGCACTTCCCAATTCATTATCCGTCCACTTCGGGACTGCGGGAGCAGTCGTTTCACTCGTCCTTCTTTAAGTATTCTTCGACTGCGGGACCACAGGAGCGCAGATTCAACTTAGCCTCTGACAGGTTCTGTTTAACAGCTAAAAATCAGACAATCAAACTGGCGAAAAAAGGTTACCATGTCCCTAGTTCCCAGTGCTCTTCGGTTCGCTTCATAGAGCAATCGCCCCTCGCACTGCCACATGTTCCCCCATCGCAAGGTAACATTAATAATGATGTCATTGCTTAAAAAGAAAGCCATTGGACTCACCTGCTAAATTAACACACGACTGATATTCGACCGACAGTTGACCGATATACCACCGACAGTTGACCGATATGTCACCGACATATGACAGATGGTCGGTCGAAGTGCGTCGTCGAAATATCGACCGATACTCAGCCGATAGTCTATCCCACGATCGACTGACTATCGACCGACTGTCGACCGACTATCGACCGCTATATCGACCGAGTGTCGACCGACTACCGACCGGTATATCGACCGCTATATCGACCGATAGATCGGTCGACACTACCTACAGTAAACAAGATCCCTTATCACTAGCAGAACGATGGACGATTACAGAAATTCGCCAACAATCAAATTCTGTGCTGACTTATTCCTTGCTCACAGATGTCCTTCCGTTGTAAAGTTTCAAATAAGACTAGAATGCGCGAGCGTGAATCGATCAAACGTCCTTTTAATTTCTAAGGCTTATTTTCCGGAAACTGAATGTAAAAAGTGAAAGAGAAATAGCGAAAAATTCAACTTCTAATTAAATCTTTTCTTACGGTTTAGAATAAACTATTCTCGAAACTGAGAATGTTTTGATCAAAGCTGTGTAAATCGATCCGAAACTGTGCATGGAACCTTGCGTTTCCTGTATTTATCTCACCTGTAGTATAGAATATGTGAGAAAATCTTCACTATGAATCGGTATATTTCAAAGAGCTACACAACGAGCAAGAATACTATTGACCGACAATATACAGAATGGGGGCAGCTGTAGTGTCAACTATTACTAGTAATATCCAATAGAAGAAGTGATAGCGTTCCCAAAACAATCCCATAGTGCAGTTTGACACAATACTGACCCAGTCTCGCGCGCAACTTTGTAATAGCCAATAAAAGAAGCGATAGCGTTCCCAAAACAATCCCATAGTGCAGTTTGACACAACACTGACCCAGTCTCGCCCGCAACTTTGTAATAGCAAAAAGAAGGCCCATCAAAAGTATAGAGTCGATACAGAGGCGAGCCACTCGAATCATTTGCGGATCAGAGAAAGAATATCAGGAGAGAATTGGGGTCCTGAAATGGTGAAGGAAGTTTATCTGCTTAGTGCAGATGTACAAGATTATTTTCGGACACTGTGACGTAGATCCTCATATGTTTTTTGATTTTAATGTTTTCGCGAAA